TCGGTCAAAAAAAATTGTAGAAAGATTTTCAAAAAAGCATTTTGTAGGTAAAATGTTACAGTTTGTGGTATTTGTATTGAATTTTGTGAAAAAAATTTTTTTATTAAACTGCAGAGTGTTAAAAATGTGTAATTTTAAGGAATAAATCAACATTTTTAATTTTAGCACCAAACAAGGAAGACAGAAACATTTTTTATGCAACACGTGCATGGAAAGTGCCCTATTACGCACGCTACGCGTGCGTGATAGACCACTTTCCAGGCACTTGCAACATAAAATAGGGAGTGTAAGCCGTGTGTAAAGATGAAAATTCCCGGGTGCGGTTACCGCACTCGCCTTCGGCTCGTGCGTAAACTCCGCACCCGGGAATTTTCATCTTACCTCACTTGTTACACAAATAACTATTTTAGTCACCGATACCATGTTAAAGCTGACATTTTGAGCTTTAAAATGCTTTTTTTTGTTTGTTCTACGATGATTTTTCATCGAGTTACGTCATTTTTTCTAAAAAATACAGGTTTTGCTTTAAAGTCATGTAAATCGGTAAAAAAAAATCGTAGAAAAATTTAAAAAAAAGCATTTTGTAGGTAAAATTATGTAGTTTATGAAACGTTAATTGAATTTTTTGAAAACAAATTTTTTAATTGAGTTTCAAGTAGTCAAACATAAGTTAATTTTAAGGAACAAAACAATGTGTTCTTTTTTAAGGCGTACAACAAAGAAAATAAAAAAATTTTTAAAATCCACCGAAAGTGCGTTAAATTTGAAACTTCAAGCTTCAAAATGCTTTTTTAATTTTTTTTTACAATAATTTTTCGCCGACTTACAGCAGTTTGAAAATAGCCTAATTTTTAGGGTTTATGAAGTGTTCCCTATTTTTTTTGTACGAGTGTATAAACAATATCATATATTGTGGAAATAACTGGAATTATTTATATTATATTATAGTTGACTGCAGATCATAGAACTGATAATATGGCTCGATATACATTAATTGAGATATGGAAAAAAATGATCAAAGATCAAGATTGTCGAAGATGGAAATTCTTCTTGTGGCATTACTTTATTGTCAGTAGGAAAATCGATACCATAAATAATATAATTACGAAATATTATATGAGATGTTTAAAAGAAAAACGTCTACGAAGTTTTAGATGAAAGAAACTATTGAGTAGAATTAATTGTATCGTTAAAATGAAAATTTATTGTAGATAAACAAAAATATGGTCTAAATTATATGCAAATTAGGTGAGAAAAAGTTGTCAATGCTAATGGTTTTATGTTATGAAATAAAAAATGGATTTTTTTGATGAAATAAACGTCGAAGTATTAATGAATGAGAAGATTTAATAAAAGACCATCGATATTCAATGTATCGCTGAAAATTGGAAAAAGGCATTTTTAATGAATTAAATTTTGACTTATTCGGAAGCAATAGAACACATATGCAACGTTCAATTAGCATTAGAAGTAATTGTTGAAATTAAGACTTTCACGCAGTGTTGCAAACAAAAAAATTATTTTATTCAATCTATGAAAGAACGTGGTGTCGACCACGTGATGCACGCGTGGTATACGCGTGGCTCTTTCTTTACAAAAATTAAACTGATTCTAAATTCTAATTGCTAATCAGAGTCTTTCGCTTTTTATAATAGCCAATCACGCTTTACAATAATACCGCTCTGATAACCGCTCTAATCAGACTCGCCGTGTACTTATCTGAAATTACGCCACCCCGGTCAGCTCACTTCGGAGTCCTATGCTATCTGATCTGTCGCCTGTAAGAAAGAGAGTTATTCCTCGCGAGCACGTGCCTATAAAGGTTCCCATCGTCCTATTTACATGATTCTTAATGATCGCTAATCATTAGACCGCGCTCTCAATAAGACACCGGATTCGTGCGTTAGGTGTGGCGCGAGAATTACTTTCCAACAGTAATTTCAGATATTAAACTTTAATTTTGAAATATAGTGGAGAAAACATTGTAGTTTAAGGAATTTTTCTATGAAAAAATTGATTTACTCGAAATCAAGATCATGGATAATCTATATAAATAAAATAGAATGTCTGTATGTCTGTATGTCTGTTCTCTATACACTCTTAAGGTGATCCTAAAGCCGTGATCCTAGCCGGTTTTTTTCTTAGCACTAATCTTTTAATTGGCTTTATAGAAATGCAAAATTCTTGTCTAGAATTAAAGTACGCATCAAAATCTAGGTCATGGTGGTCGAATTTATATGTGGTGGTCGTCACGTATAACAAAAAATATTAATTTTTTTTCGTTTTTGATATAAATTCGACTACCATGACCTAGATTTTGATGCGTACTTTAATTCTAGACAAGAATTTTGCATTTCTATAAAGCCAATTAAAAGATTAGTGCTAAGAAAAAAACCGGCTAGAATCACGGCTTTAGGATCACCTTAAACTATTCGACCGAATTTTTACCAAAAATATATAAAATAGGGGTAGAATTTTCCGGAGAGTGTTATAGAGTGTATAATTTTTCGTTACCGATCTTTTTGGGAACCGGTATCCGAAATTTTTCCAATTTTTCGGGAAATAATTTACCGAATTTTAAAGAATTGTATATAAAACAGGAGTAGAATTTCCCGGGGAGTGTTATAAACTGTACAGTGTTGTAATATACTAAAAGAAAAATGTGTGCTATAAAATAAAATTGGATTTTAGGATAACAATGGTTATAATATAAATCAATGTTAGTCGAAGGATCTATTATCCTGTGAGAATGTGAAAGTTTTAAACTGCCGTCTCAATCTCTGGACTTCAATCCGATTAAATATCTGTGAGAAGAAGCAAAGTGTCGAGCCCGAAAATATAAACATTCAAACAAGACAGCATTATATACAAAAATGTAATGTAGGAAATTAGGATAAAGCGTCTTCTGATTACGTTACGTGTTTAATCGAGTGCACATTTTGCTGCCATTATTGCTGTAAAAGATGTGACTTCCAAATATCTATAATAAAAACGTGGTCTAAAAGATCTTAAATGTGCTGTATTGTAAGTTAAATTATTTGTTTCTCTTATATAACGAAGTGACCGGAGACTATTTAACTTGCAATTTGTTACATAAATACGTACAAGATTATAAAAATATTTATTTGTTTACACTACTTTCTTTTATCTAACTCATTTTTATAATAAATTTATATATTTAATATTGGTTGTACGAAGCTTGTTCAAGTCAAACCGGGGCTTTTAGTTGCACAGAATATAATAGCGTTTTCCATTGGGAAAAACTCATCGGCACTGGCAGCACTGAGTGCTTGAAGCGTATTATGCGATCGCGACGATTTTTTTATGATGGTAATAAGTGACAAGTGTCTCCTATCATCAGTATGCGGCGTACTTCTCTCAGGTCAATTGATAATCAGTTATGCAAAATGGCAGACAACAGTGTTAACGCATATATGGAACAGCGAATTATTATAAAGATATTTATTGTGAATGGAGACGTGAAACCGGCGGACATTTACAGAAGACTTCAAGCACAGTACGACGATGAGACAATTAGCCGCAGTAAAACATTTGAATGGTGCAAACGATTTAAAAATGGCCGTACGTCATACTGCCTATCGCACTACTTGCACATTATTGGAACTTGATTGGGAGATATTGCTTCATCCTCCTTACAATCCAGACCTTGCTCCGAGCGATTTTCATCTTTTCGGACCTTTAAAAAACTTCTTGGAAGGCCAGCATTTCAGAACTGATGATGAGGTGAAACACGCTGTCCGATTCTGGCTCCGGTACAGATAAATCTTTTTATGCTACTGGTATCCAGGTGTTAGTGAAACAGGGCAAGTGTATAAAAATGTAGCAGGAGACTATATCGAAAAATAAATATAGTTTTTATTTATATAAATGCGTTCTATTATTTCGTACTTTACCCTTAAAAGTCCCGGTTTGACTTGAACAACCCTTGTATCTCCTTCTTTTTAAATCCTGCTTTTAAAAAATTAAACAACTATTTCTTTGATCGGAAACTTTTGCATGTCACCTACCTTTAGAATATTAAGTTATATTGATATTGTATTTATATTGTTATAGGTTGCTATAAAGATAATAGATAAAACTAAACTAAATGAGGAAAACTTAGCAAAAATTTTTCGTGAAGTACATATAATGAAAAGGTTACGACATCCTCATATTATAAGACTGTACCAAGTAATGGAAACGGAGAAAATGATATATTTAGTGACAGAATATGCTCCTGGAGGTGAAATATTTGATCATCTTGTTCGAAATGGTAGAATGCCAGAACCAGAAGCACGAAGAATTTTCCGTCAGATTGTACTTGCCGTTCATTATCTGCATCAACAAAGAGTAGTTCATCGAGATCTTAAGGTCTAGCTGTTGTGTTATATCGAAATTGGATGTCCTACAATCTTAATTGTTAATAAAATTTATTACAAATTGTATACATATTGTTATATGCATATAATTAGCTTTTGCTTCTTCTTTTTTTAGGCTGAAAATTTGTTACTTGATGCAGACAATAATATAAAACTTGCTGATTTTGGATTTAGTAATGAATATACACCTGGTGTTCCACTTAGTACATGGTGTGGTTCACCACCATATGCCGCACCTGAAATTTTTGAAGGAAAACACTATGATGGTCCAAGAGCTGACGTATGGGTATGTTATAATTTTTATATACATATTTTTTTTGAATATTTAAAGGGGACTTATGTAAATAACCCTATTATATATAGTTTAATTAATTTGATCGAACACTGCTGCGTTGCAGCGCGCACGGGATTGATTGACTTATGTCCGTTTTCACCAACATCGTTTAACTTTAACCTTAGTCTAACTAACCTAAGGGAGACTGTTAGAAAGAGACAAAGAATGAGTCAAACTAAGGTTAAAGTTAAACGACGTTGATGAAAACGGGCATTAATGATTAAATAACTCAATGAATATATACGCGCGCGCGCGCGCGTCCCCCTTCCACACACACACACACACACACACACACACACACACACACACACACAGAGAGAGAGAGA